TTTTGTGACCAAGTCTTGTAACACAATTTAAAACTACTCACAAGGTTCTTTTGATAATATTGTACTTTTGTCCATAGTAACCACTGTGTACAACCTGTCTTTACATTTAGTAGGCCACTAGTGATAATTTGTAATATGTGCTTGTATTATTTTGACATGAATCAGAAGAAAGCAATAAAAAGTCTTTAATAAAAAAAATAATAATAATATACAGTAAAGTAAATGTTTTGAAACAGTCAAAATAAAAAATTATTTCAATATTATTATTGTGATCATTATTAAATATCTTTGAAAAATAACAATAGAATTACACAGTTTAATATGACTATAAAATAATTTATTATATATAAAAAAATAAGTTTTATAAAATCACAGTTTTTTATGACAATACTAATAATATTTTTGTCATGTGTGACAGAAAAAGTGCAATGTCATGCCCAGATAGGTTTTCACAAAGGTTTTCTCTACATCCTCACATAGTTCTGAAAATATTGCCAAAATGGCAAGAAAAGGCAGAAAAAAACACTTAAATTGTAAGTTTATTTGGACAAAAGCGTCTGCCAAATGAGTAAATGAAAATATAAAAAGTAAATAATAATTGTTATGGTAATTTTACCTGTGTTTGCGTATGTTTTCTCTGAGTGCTCCGGTTTCCCCCACAAGTCCAAAAACATGCGGTATAGGTGAATTGGATAGGCTAAATTGTCTGTAGTGTATCTGTGTGTATGGATGTTTCCCAATGATGGCTTGTAGCTGGAAGGGCGTTTGCTGTTTAAAACATATGCTGGATTAGTTGGTGGTTCATTCCACTGTAGCAACCCCAGATTAATAAAGGGACAAAGCCGAAAAGTAAATGAATGAATAAAAGATGATTTTATTATGATTATTATATTAAACTGTTAAAAATTGTGTGTAAAGTAAAAACAACAGAGAAATAAAACTAATTTCACTATAAAATTACAACATTAATATTCACATCCTTAACCCAAACCTCTGAAACTCTGGAACACAAAGCATTTTATTTTAATATATCATGTAGTCGAATAAGGAGACATTTGGACAAGGAAATCAGGATGATTTCAAGACAGGAATATGAAGTATTGGAGAACAATGGACCGTGCACTGTGAAACAAACCAAGTCATCGGTCAATGTCTCTAGAGTTTGGGGAGAATTATTTTCCAGTCAAATTAAATATAGATCACATGTGTTAGGTGCAGTGACTGCAAATTCATTTAGGTGTCTAAAGAACCGCTTCCAGGCCTGTCAATAAGTCAGCCACTTGTATCACTGTAGCCGAGGGTCTAAAGGACAGACACTACAGTCAAAAGCACAGTTTATTCACGAACCTCTCAGTTTTGAGATTTGGACTTTTCATAAAGCAATTTTTATTACTCCAAGTAAAAGAAAGCACTCAAATATACTTTTAAGAGTTACATTTGTTACACTTAACAATTTGTGTCTGCAGCTTTTAATTACAATTCATATTTTCAAAAGCTGTTTTCTCAAAATGTGCTTTTTCCGCTCACCTTGTGTCATAAATCTCCAGCGCTTATTACCAAACTACACAATCTTATGTATGTTTGTTTATACATAATTTACCTGATTAGAATTTTGTTTTTGACAGGATCATCTGAATTATGTAGTGCTAAAAAGAGAAAACCTTTTGTGTGGTTGGCATCACAAAAAGCCTAATTAATGTTGTCAGTGCTGTTCTTTAAACTTATTTAGGAATCAGAGGAAGAAATTGAATACCTTTCAAAACCTTTTTAAAGACTCTTTCCATATATTTTAAGACCTTAAAACCATTTTAGGTTTCAATGAGAAACACTAGCGAGATTTTAACTTACAGTATATTTACTAAATATTAATGTAAGAAACTAATCCAAAACTAAAACATTACTCATATACTGAATAAAAATCTATTAAATCTAGCTAAATCCAGCAGGTAGCGCCTATAGAATTGCAGAAATAATGATGTTGCCTTAGTTCCTGCAGTAAACAAAGCAGCATGATCTCAAATCTAGTAGGATGTCATTGCTTTCATAAACTACACAGTAGTTTCAGTGATATCCGCAGATTTAATTCAGGCAGACTTTAGCATACAACCATACATTGCATAATTAAAAATTATATAAAATTTAATACTTCGCAAAATAGCTTTTAATACTTTTTAAGGGCCTTAAATTTATCGAATTTATCAACTTTTAATACTTTTTAAGACCCCGTAGACACCCTGTAACTCTGTAGAATGATTTGCGTGTCAAGCGTCACTGTGTCATGCCACTGAATACTTTTTAAAAATTTTAAATATTTAAATTTCATTCCTTTAAAAAATGAGTGGATTAAGTCATATTTAATAAATTGTCATATTTAAGCCAGTGAAAGAGTGGATTGGGTTATATTTAATCAAACAATAGAAATTAAACAACAACAAAAAAAAATAATAATTTACAGCCTAATTGTCAACTGCCCATTTACAAAATAACTGTGAAATCTAACCTTCAAATTTGCGTGCAAGAAAGATTTGCAAATTAGAACATAGCTCAATATTGCCTCCTTTGCGTGTTTTAACATATTTGTAAACCCACGATACACAAAATTTGTGCAGTTCTTTAATCAATCAATCAATCAATCAATCAATCAATCAATCAATCAATCAATCAATCAATCAACCAATCAATCAATCAATCAAATCAACTGAGCAAGTAACAACTATTGGTTTTTGTTGTTGTTGTTTGTTTGTTTGCTGAAAGAAGTTTTCTAAAAAAGTGCTTCATCTACTGAGGAAACTTGTTCATGCTTTTATCACCAGCAGAGTGGATTTCTGTAACAGCCTCCACATTGGCCTTCCCAAAAACAGTCAGACAGTTGCAGCTCATCCAGAACGCTGCTGCCAGGATTCTGACCAGAACCAGTAAATCAGAGCACATCTCCTGTGCTCAGGTTTTTACACTGGCTCCCAGCTACATTCAGAATAGATTTTAAAGTATTATTACTTGTCATTAAATCACTAAATGGCCTAGGACCTCAATACATTACAGATATGCTCTCTGAATACAAACTTAACAGATCACTAAGATCTTTACGATCAAATAAACTAAAAATTCCAAGTGTTCATTGGAAGCAGGATAAATCTGCCTTCAGCTACTACACCCCCGCTGGTGGAATCAGCTTCCAGAAATGATCAGATGTGCTCCAACATTAGGCACATTCACATCACGACTGAAAACACAACAATCAGTTGAGTTGAATTACTGAATGAGCACTGTGCTACTTTCATAGATCGCACTATTATCTATTTCTTTTCTTTTTCATTCTTTTATAACCTATTTAACACATTTTAATCTGTTTTCATCATTTTTTATTCTTTGTTTTTATTTTCTTACACTTGTTTCTTTTATTGCTGTTTATGTACTACACTTTGAATTACCATTGTGCATGAACAATGCTATATACAGTAAATAAACTTGCCTTGCCTCTCCTTCAATAAAAAGCAGCAAACGTCACATAGTCAACAGTGACTCTATTACCCTTTAAACATTACTTACTGCTACTTTACATTGACTAAATAAACTTAATAAAAAACACTGTAACTGTTACCATGACATTTACTGGGATCATGATACCGAATAAAAGTGCACAACAGCCCATCCAGTCCTCTGCCTGCTGAGACTAATGAGAGTAATAAGGCATTTCATTGCAGTCATTATTAAAACGCACAAGGAAACAGACACAAGGTCTCGTTTTAAAAGGCTTGCTATCACAGATTCAACTTTAAAAGGCTTCTGTGTACAAAACTATTAGCTTTTTAGACAAGCCATGAGCATTAAACCTGTACTTTTTCTTCTAATGGTGGAATATTTTACACACTGACATTCAAAACTGTGCAATAAGGATGTATTAAATCAATCAAATGGCACAGTAGAGTTATTTATAATGTTATAAATAATTTCTATTTTAAATAAATGCTGCTCTTTCAACTATAGAATGGTTTGTGTGTCATGTGTCACCGAAAATGTTTGGTTTTGAAATTTCATTCATTCATTATTTCTGTAGTATATATATGTAAAACTACCCCCAATTTTAAAACCAAAACGAGTTGTTATTGATTGATTGATCTGAGTCTAGAATAACATGGGTAAATGTGTTAGGGAGTGCAAATATGTACAAAAATCTCACATTCATATGTTTTTGACATTTAATATTAATATAAAGTAATATTTATTGTGATTATTTATAAATATATTAAACTAAAATGATAGATTTTTGTTTGGGAATTATTTTTTATTAATATATTTTATTAATATATTTATTTATATATTTACAGCATTTTTAAACAACATACTTTTTGTTTCTAAATATTATTTATACTAATTATTTTTTTTAAATTGTGTAAGGGAGTGCAAATGTATACATTATATTAATCTTTTAACAACATATAGTGCGTTCATTTATTTAAATATTTACATTTTTTATATATATATTTATAATTTTTTATAATAAAAAAACAAATGCTGTTGCAAATATCTGAAAGCAATAAAGTGAAAGAAATCATACAAGCTTATGGAAAAAAGGTTAGGCCAAGACATTGACTCATTTGATCCATTTAGCTCCTTCGCCTTTGTTTGTTTAACATGGGAGAAAAGACTTCAACAAGTCAGAACTGAAAAAGAGAAAGATCTCTGGATGACAGAATCAGACAGAGACAGGTAGCAACTGAAAGACTGGCAGGATCCAAATACCACACTGAAAAGAGGTGAGGAAAAACACTCCGATTTGACACGACTCTTTATAAACCAGGGCAAACAAACCAAACAAACACCCACTCAACTAATTCCTGTAACAGTAAGCCAGGTACACGGATATGAGCCTTTTGTTGAAGGAAAGGCTGATCTAAAGAGCAAGCAAAAACACCAAGATCACTTCTTAAGAAAAAAATAGCACATTTCAGGGAAACCAAAAACACAGAGATGGTTCAAAGCATGTAAAGTAACTTTACCTTGTAGTAGGACTCCCTTGTTTTTCCTGTAAAAGGGACTTCCTGGCCATATTGGAGGACTGGACATACTGTGAAGAAAACACAGAAGAGAAAATGATGAGACATTGATATAAATAGCAAATCTACAACTGACAGATGGACGGCAATAATAAAAAAAAACTGCTAATAATGATATATTAAGAGATAATCAGTGCTCTAAATACAACAAAACCAAGAGACTTCTGCCAATTTTGGTTAACGCTATAAAATCTTCAATTAATATGAGACCATAGTTCAAGTTATTATGCTTTGAGTTCATGTTACCACAGTTTAATTTAATAGCATTAGGTGATGCAATAAGAGAGCACACTATGCTGTAAAATGTTTTATGGATGCTTTGGGTTTTGGCCAGGTTTTTTTTTTATTAAGCAGTGCTGATACATATCGTATCTAAGATATTTGTGATCCGTACGGACCAAGGCCCCGGGTATGAGATGCATGTGAACCACAGAATAATTTTACTGTTTATCTATTATTTGCACAGACATGAAAGCTTTTTAAATCCATTCACTTATACACTAAGAGGAGCAAAAGTACATGGCTAAAATGCATCTCAGAGGGCATGCAAATACCAGAATAAGTTCTCTTTTACACAGTCATGGACAAGTAAATATTGTCTTGATGAGCAAAATTTGGCAAACACAAACAATTAAGAAAGAAAACACATGCGTATCAATTTATTGAATCTGTGCATTAACTCTTAAAATAAATTTTGTAATAAAATAAAATAAATAAAAAAACTGCTGTTGACTGATTTATTTTTTTTACTATTAAAAAGGATTAATTAGCATTTCATTTACACAGTTAAAAATTTGTATTCTATAATATCATGTTTTATATATGATAACTTATTGTCAAAACTTAAGAATATGTAATATTGGACTTAATGTAATGACTTTTTAATGTTATATAAATGCATGTTTGTAATTTATATTAGTTAGGCTAGTTTTTACCAGTGGTGTAAAGTAACTATTTACAAGTATTCAAACTACTGTAATTGAGTAGTTTTTCTCAAGAATTTTAATTTACTAAGTAGTTTTAAAAATGTGTATTTTTACTTTCCCTTGAGTACATTTTTAGTGCTGTATCAATAATTTTACTCCACTACTTTCCTTCAATCTGCAGTCACTACTTTATTAAGTCTTGTCTTGTCTTGGCTAAAGTAGGAAAATCGGTCTTGGGATTCCTATTCAATCAAATCGCACATAGAAAAGTAAATCGCATCAAACATAACAGCCTCAAGACAGGTGCGCTGTATAAATACAGCAAACAACTTGGAAGGATTTAAAAATGTCTAAAAAATTTAAAGGAAATGACCCAGAGATTTTTTAAACTACAAAATGCTGATAAGAAAAATGAAGGATGAAATTGCCAAACAGCCTTAAACAATCCCTAAATAGAACAAATGAGGAATGGAAGGAAGGGCCAAATGAAGGAATAGCCAAACAAGGAATAGAAGGTATATGTAAAATGTTTTAAATGTATTTTAGTTAGTTAGGCTAGTTATTTACCTGTATGCTAATAAAAAAAAAGAGTCAAAAAACATAAAATGGTCCAAAAAGAGTTTTCTGATGAATTGCACTTCTTCTTGTGAAATAATATCCATAAAGCTCAGGTTCATTCAAAACGTGGGCCTCAGGTTATACATTTAAGCAAAACATGAAATACATAACTCCGGATATATTTCACTGAACATTTCAGATGAAAAATCCACTAGAGGGCGCTGTCTACATTTTGGCAAATCTGTATTACATTTTAAAAAACACATCCTTCCTGTAAACTTCCGCGAGAAGGTGGGCTTGTCAATTCCCTAAATCCAACCAATAGTGTTTTCAAAAGCAAATGTAAAAGAAAACTGACACCAAATGATGTCCATATAGGGACAAATAGGCAAGGCAAACATATTCACATGTAAATCACAGACACCATTAAGTTTTTTGTGCTATTTATTTTGTAGTGTTTTGCAAAGGACCCTGCAAAAATAATATATCGAAGTAGAATTCGATAATATGCCCCAACAAATATCATTATTGTGAAAAGGAACAAAAGTCATATTGCCCCACAGCGTTCATTTTACCTAGAAACTGCAGTCAAACGTATGTTCATGTTTGCTATTGTAATTCCACAAATTCACAAGTGTTAAATAAACAGCATGAATTCTCAGAGACATCACAAACACTACTGTACACAAAAGAGATTTGAGCAAACAGCTCCTGACCAACACTTGGAGGCCTATGCCATGTTGAGACACGAGTTTGCAGCAACATAATCATTATATGCTTTTATAAATGAAGCCCTGGCCGCTTTAATCATGAGTTTCTGCTGCTGAGATGACAGGCTGGTTCAGGTGATGCTGAAGGAGATTTCAGGACACAGCAGGAAGCTTCAGCTGAATTACACACTCACCACTGCTCGGACCATTTGTGTGCACTGTTGAGCTGAACAAAGAGGAAAACCCACTGCTCTGTTCTGTAACTCTGGCAGAGAAATGAGATGCTTAGGTTTATTTATCTACCTCATTGGATTTGTGATCTCTATGATGAACAGGAAGAAAACTGAGGAACTACTGTATGCTGACTCTCAGTAAGCGAATCAGACTTCAGGATTTCTCTCATATGAAAGCTATTGATTTTTCCTGGCAATCACGAACGTCCTTTTGAGAAGCAGGTCAACAGGTCTTTCTTGAAGAGATATGATGGTCTGAAGCAGAATGTGTGTACAAACTCTAAAGCGAATGTAAGAACAACAAATATATCAGGGCGTCCACAACAAAACAATACCATGCTTGGATGGTAGCATTTTGTGAAAAACAAAAATATCACAGTAATACTTTCAATGAATTATTACATACTGCATACTGTAGCATTAAGTAGCATACTAGCATTATTATACTTGTAAAGATATAAATCTTTTTGATCATATGCAGCACGGTGGCTCGATGGTTAGCACTGTCACCTCACAGCAAAAAGGTTGCTGGTTTGAATCCTTTCTGTGTGGAGTTTGCAAGTTCTCGCCATGTTGGAGTGGATCCAACTCTAGGTGCTCCTGTTTTCCCCACAGTCCAAATACATACAGTACAGGTGAATTGGATAAATTAAATTTGGCCAGTGTATGAGTGTGTGTGTGGGAATGTGAGAGTGTATGGGTGTTTCACAGTACAGCTGGAAGGGCATCCGCTGTGTAAAACATTTGCTGGAATAGTTGGCGGTTCAGTCCGCTGTAGCGACACCTGATAAATAAGAGACTACGCTGAAGGTAAATGAATGAATGAGAACATTAAATTACCTGATATATTAAAATGTGAGGGCCTTCACAACAAAACAACACCATTAAGATTGATTAAACCACTAAATACTTAGTTGTGTGATAACAATGGAAAGACATAAGAAGAAGGTACTGAACTACTGAAATGCATTAGATACTTTATACTTACGTGTAAAATGTTTTTTTTTTTAATAATTATTATTATTGGTAATGACTTCTAAAAGACGTCTCTTGTATGTTGAAAGGAGTTGCATGTATTGCTCAGGTTTGCATTACTTTTTACTCCTCCCTTTCTTCATGTGTTCAATACTTTTTCCCTGTGTCAGTTCATTTTATAACGCAACTTGGGCAAGACAGAATCTGCAAACATTTTTTAGTGATTTCTGCAGAGAATTTAGTTAAAAAACTGTGAATTTATGTGGGATGATTTTGTGAGTATCATAACTGAAACCCTAATATATGAAATAAAAAAGAATACCTTTTTAACATTTATTTAACGTTTACAAGGCAAATCCAATTAGATCCATTTTATTTGGTAAACAAAGCAAGTCTCCTATGTATATATTATATTAACTAAAAGACAGAAAATATTACTTTACAAACTGTATTGTAAATAAATGATATGTATATTTTCATATTTGTCTGTAATATTACTAAAATTAGTTTAAAAGCTGAATAAACATAAATTTACATGAGTAAATAACTAATCAATGGTGGGCTAAAAACCTGCAGGAATCTGCAAAATTCTGCACGTGCAGATTCCATGTGGGCCTACATGTAACTTCATTTCTAAACTAATTAGTTTTGTTGTCTTTGTGGATGGCTTTAGCGGTTACCGACATTTGGTGAAAATTTCAAGTCATTCATTAATTCATTCATTCATTCATTTTCTTTTCGGTTTATTAATTTGGGGTCGTCACAGCGAAATAAAGCACCAACTTATCCAGCACATGTTTTACACAGCGGATGCCCTTCCGGCCGCAACCCATCGCTGGGAAACATCCACACACACCCATTCACACACATACACTATGGACAATTTAGCCTACCCAATTCACCTGTACCACATGTTTTTGGACTTGTGGGGGAAAGTGAAGCACTCGGAGAAAACCCACGCCAACACGGGGAGAACATGCAAAGTCCACACAGAAATGACAACTGACCCAGTTGAGGCTCAAACCAGGACCTTTTTGATGTAATGCGATCATGCTACCCACTGCGCCACCTTGACGCCCTTGTCTAGTCATATGTTTTATTATTTTTTTTGAAGTTTCAGCCTTTCCCAAGGCGAACGTGCTACCCACTACGCCACCGTGCAGCCCAAAACTTCAAGTCAACCTTCAGAAATATGTTTTCTGAGAAGAATGGTGACATGTTCACTACTTATTTTATAGATCCACAAACATTTCTGAATTTATAAATGTAACAATTTTATAGATAAGTACGGAAACAGTTCTTAAATGGCAGCAAGTAATAGATGCTGACCAAATGTCTCACTTGAAGGACTATGAGTGCTTCAAATATGATCAAAGTTCCCAAAATTCAGTCATGAATTTTTCTCTTTATCTTGCTCATCTCCTCTAATACAATCTCTCCCCCTCAGCCATGATTTTTCATGCCCCATACAGCGGTGCATCCCAAACATTGATCATTCGTGACAGGAAATTTGAATTTCCGACCTTTTTGTTTGGGGTTTGTGAAGTATTCCGGCATGATTTCACATTTATCCGTTCCCTCAGAGTTTATCCGCGTCTCTGTTTTCTGA